CAGCCTGTTCAGGCTTATTACACATCACTCTCTGTCATGCACTCTGTGTTCTGGCCAAACTGGCATGCGTACTCTTCCAGGTACATGGTGTTTCATGTGCCATTGCTATCCCTCTGTCTCCCCTCCTTGGAATACACTCCTTCAACACCTTCCTCTCTCATAATCCCTAGCTTTCTTTAAAGTTCAATTCAAGTGTTTCCTCTTCGGGGAAGCCCCTCTGAATCCCTACTCCAATTGCTGGTACCCTCACCTAGAAAATAACTTTTAAAAATATATTTCATCTTTAATTTTCTGTGTGAATGTTGCCACCACCACCACCACCATCCACCCTCCCCTCCCAATAGAATGTCTTCTCCTTGAAGGCAGGGTCCTTTTCCTTTCTGTCTTCTTGTCCTTATATACCCAATCCCTAGAGCATAACTGGCACATAGTAGGTACTTAATAAATGATTGTTTAATTGGATTAAACAGCAGACATTTATATAGCACTTTCAAGTTTGCAAAGCTCCCCATTATCACTTTCGATCCATAGAACAACCCTGTGAGATAGGTACTATGGACAGTGCCTGGCATATAGTAGGCATTTAATAAGTGTTTATTAACTAACTGATAGCATCGTTCCCATTTTGCAATAATGGATAGGATTCTGTCATAGAACTAATTCTGGAAGGGATTTAGAAGCTATCTAGTGCAATCCCTTCATTTTATAGAGGAAGAGCTAAAGTTCAGAGGTCAAGTGACTTGCCTAAGGTCACACTGGTAGCAAATAGCAAAGTGAGAATTTGAACCCAAGTCTCTGCTGATGCCAGGTCGAGCACTCCTTTCCCATTCAGTTATGCATGTGGATAATTAAATATCCAACCACACAAGATGTCCCAAAAGTCTTGGTGTCACTGCTATGATAGGCACCAACATTAATAATTTAGACATTTAGAAATTAATAAATAATAATAATAAATTAATAATTTAGAAATGCCGTTTACAGCTGCACCAAGACTTTTGGGACACCCTGTACTATTGTAAGACACCCCTTCTGGGGTTCTTCGATTTTCTCTGTCTGACCTCATTAAAATAACACTGATCCTCAAACTGCTGTCATGAAGGGAAGGTTTTTACCAGAGAAAGAGCATCCTTTGTTGTTTTGCAAAGTCTTGGAATTTTTGAAGGCTCAGGCTGCTGAGCGGGGGTCTAGCATTAGCTTTCAGGAATCCCCTCAGGCATATTAAGCCTCCATCTTAACTCCTGCAGCCAATGGTTCTGCTCCGACTCCTGCTTTTAGAAGAGATAGCCATCAGGATGCTTTGCATACCTGACATGATTATGTGAAGGAAAACCCTGCAGCCTCCTGCAGCCTCCTGCCGCCCGCCCGACCAGCCAGAGTTCAAGTGAAACGTTCAGGATCCCTTCCTGGACACCTCCTTTCACGCCCAGGCTACAACAGCCTGACTCTTCAGCACGGTCCATAGGGACAGGCAGAGTTCATTGGAATCAAACATGAAGTTTTTGTTGTTCAGTTGTTTCAGTCATGTCCAGCTCTTCGTGACCACATCTGGGGTTTTCTTGGCAAAGATAATAGAGCGGTTTGCCATTTCCTTCTCCAGCTTATTTTACAGATGAGGAAATTGAGGCAAACAGTGCTAAGTGATTCGCCCAGGGTCAGACGTTAGTAAGTGTCTGAGGCTGAATTTGAACTCAGACCTTCCTCACTCCAAGGCCTGGTGCTCTATCCCCTGCACCACCCAGCTGCCCATGCTTGAAGGAAATTGTGCGAATATCTACCATGGCCTACTTTTTTCCTAGTTTCATTCATTTAATTTATGATTGCATAATTAACACCCTCCACAAATACAAGTGTAGAGACTAAAGTCCTTATCTCAGCTCCCTCTTACCCTGATAAGTTGGGTTCCCCTCTCTCACTCCAGACCAAGACTGGCTATAGCTCTGCTCGAGGGGTTGGGCTGGGGTGTCTTTGGAATGCTATTAATGTGTTCTAGATGTAGTTCTAGTTAGTTTCTCCCCAATCTCACTATCAGTTTAGTCAATTAACATCAATTAGCTTTTACCAAAGAGATATTTACTGAAAAAAATTTAGCAAGAACAGAAATACAAACACTCCTCCCGACACACTCACTCCAATTTCAGGCAAGAATAGCAACTCAGTTCTCCTAGGAGGGTGGGCTCAAACTTCCTTGATTTTTAAGAAAGCTGATTTATTTATTTTTAGTGTTCAACATTCACTTTTATAAGATTTTGAGTTTTAAATTTTCTCCCCCTCATCTCCCTCCTCCCTCCCCAAGATGGCATGCAATCTGATATAGGCCATACATGTATAATCATATTAAACACATTTATACATTAGTCATGTTGTAAAGAAGAATTAGAACTAAAGGAAAAAAAGAAAAAACAACCAAAAAAAGAAAAGGAAAAATAGTATCCTTTGATCTGCATTCAGACTCCATAGTTCTTTCTCTGGATGTGGATAGCATTTTCCATCACGAGTTTTTTGGAATTATCTTAGATCATTGCGATGCTGAGAAGAGCTAAGTCTATCAAAGTTGGTCATCGCATAATGTTACTGTTACTGCATACAATGTTTTCCTGGTTCTGCTCACTTCACTCAGCATTCCCTGATTTTTTTTTTTAAAAGGCAATTGGGGTTAAGTAACTTGCCCAAGGTCACACAGCTAGAAAGTGTCTGAGGCAGGATTTGAACTCAGGTCCTCCTAACTTCAAGGCCAGTGCTTTATCCACTGTGCCACCTAGCTATCCTGGGTAAGCTCAAACTTAAGAGTTTCTACATAGCATTCCTCTCCTCCTCACCAAGGTCACTTCTGAATGTGGTGTAACTGACGGACAAAAGCATTTCCTTGTTTACAGAAACACGGAGATTCGTTGGCACATTGGTACGAGTAGCAGCAGCAAACTCTGGTATGGATTCCAGTCCTTGGACCTTCGGAAATCTCACAAGGTTGTAGCCTGGCTGGCTGCTGTCCTCATTACTGCTGCCTCTCTTCCCTCCTAGAGGCTTATACTAGCCCCTGCCTCAGTCACCACCAGGGGGACATATGCACACTCAGCCCAAGTAGATGGGAACCAGGGGAGCCAGTCAGTCAAAAAGTATTTATGAAACCCTTACGATGTGCTGAGTACGATAATATACATTAGGAATACAAAAAAGGGCGAAAACCCAGCCCCTGACCTCAAGGAATTCAATTCTAATTCGGGAGACAATGCTCAAACAATTTTGCACATAGAAGATGTAGACGCAGTATAAATGGGAAATTATTTCAGAGGGAGGGGATGAGCAACTGGGACAGCCCTCTTGCAGAAGGGCGGAGATTGGCTGAGTCCTAGAATGTCCTAGTACACGCTCCACAGTAAAATGGGGGCCTGCATTGAGTATGCCTAGAAACAGGATCGCCGAGTGACCATGGCTCTCGGGACTGGGCCCTCATTGGCCAGACTCCTTTAGGTAAATAAACAAAGAAGCTGGCAAAATCTAGAGTAAATTTTCAAATAAAATCATAAAATTCAAACAGTTTACTTTCTGATTTAAATTGTCAAAAAATATAATTTTTCACACCATGATAACTACAAATAATGGATTTTCCCCTTCCAAATCCATCTGGGTTTTTACAAATATCATTGACTTTCTTGATATTTTTTTCCTTTGAACGCCGTTATCCACACGTGTGTTGTTATTTCCAGGCTGTCGGTCTCCCTCGGCATCACTTTGAACCTTTTGCTATCCCTTTGTATTCCTGCCTCTCTGCCTTAGCACGGTCTCTCCCCCAGTGCAGAGATGCTCTCCCATCTCACCTCTGCCTGCTCCAATGCCTCCCTTTTCCAAGGTCCACCTCTGACATCAGACTTTGCTTAGCTGCCCCTCCCCCCACCTTCAAGTACCTCTCTTTCCCAAATGACCCTGTAATTACTTCCCTTATGTTTTATAGCCAATAAGTATAGATATTGTTTCCCCATAGAAAATAAGCTTCCTGAAGGCAGGGTCAATTTCACTTGTGTCCTCATATCCCAGGTACCCAGCACAGTGTCAAACACGTAATATGTGCTTAAGAAATGCTTGTTTAATTCCCATTTGTCCATTTTAATGACACAGTAGTCACTGATACGCCATAGTTTGCTATTCCTCATTAAGCAAGTCTCTTAATTTTCCTGAATCTTGGTTGTAAAATTTGTAAAACGAAAATGACATGGTAGATATAATTGCATGTTGTCTCCCCCATTAAACTGTGAGTTCCTTGAGAGCAGAGTCCATTTTTTACCTTTCTTTGTATCCCCAGTGCCTGGCACATAGTAGGCATTTAATAAATGTTTACTAACTGATTGACTGTTGGACTTGGTGTTGGGAAGACCTGGGTTTAAGTCCTGCCTCAAACACTTACTGTCTGTGTGTGACCCTGGGCAGGTTACCTCTCTGGGCCTCAGTTTCCTCATCTGTAAAATAAGGGGATTGGAGTTAATGGCTTCTAAGGTCCCTTTCAGCCCTAAATCTGTGATCTGGCCTCTGAGGCCCGTCCAGATCTATGGTTCTGTAACCAGTGTTTTGGTTTTTTTCCCCCATTTTTTTCCTGTTAGAAACAGAACAACCATGTGTTATTTAATCACCTTCACTTTGGGGCCACATATGTCATTTGTGTAGATTTGCCCCCCCCCCCCTTTTAAGAACCTGTGGAAACGAGCAGCATCTGCACACAGTCTATCTGTATTTCTCTCCAACCACACTCCTGGATTACCCAGACAGAGACTACCAGAAATGCAAGGTCACTGTGGCGGGGTCACGGCCGCGATCATGCAAATGCTGAATGACAGGTGGGGAAGTCCCAGTGGTAGCAAGCATTCTTTCCTGAAGATGACTCTGGTCCTTTGGCAATACTGACCACGTGGACAAAAAATGGGGGCGTTTCCTTCCCGGCCTGTGGCCGACCTCTGGGCACACCTCCACCTTCGGCTTTTCAGCCTCGCCCACACTGAACTCTGCAACTATGAGAGTCAGCTTTTTAACATCAGTTACAAAATGCAAGCCCCAGCTGCCCAAGTCCCCAGTCTTTGGAAACCTCTGAACCCCTGTCTCCCAGAGCAAGTTTCTTTTGTGCCTAAGGTAAGTTATTTCTGCTGAAAACTCTCCTGGGTTGTCAGCAGTTTGCTCCTTGGAATAGTTTTATTTTCAGAACTGGGGTAGAGTTGATATGTGGTACATGCCTATGTGGGGCAGGAAACCTGCCTGTGGGTGGAGACTTTGGAAAGCCACCTGTGTCAGGACTGGAGCTGTTGACTCAGAGTTCTTTTAAGCCCTAGCAAGGAACACAAAGACGGGAATACCCCCTTACTAAGTAGAATTGACCGCTAAGGTTCCTAATGTAAGTACAGACAACCATTTCAAACGTGCCTCTCAGTGACTCGGTTTGTGTGTAAGCCTGTCTTGGCTGGGCTTTCTCGTTAGGGACTTTGCTTTACTAGATATCAAAAAAGTTTTAAAAGAAAGCATATATGTGGGCTGGGGAAATAGGTTTGTTTTTTTCCCCCAATAGGACTTAGTTGGAATCATAAGACCTGAGTCTTAAGTGGGCTGTGAAAAGTTTATTTTGCAGTAAAGTAGAAAAGTTAAGAATTATATTTTAAAAATAAAAAAAATTGACCGTTCTAGTAGAACATAGAAAGTCAAATTAAATTGTCCATAAGAAAGCAAACAGACTCTAAAATTTTGGATTTTAGCAACGAAAGCAAACTATTGGTATAATTCCATATGTTTTTGCTATCAGAGTGCAAAATACTTTCCAGATTCTCTTCAAAGAGAAATTCTCTTTAGCTAAGCAATAGTTCAACTTGTCAAGTCAGTAGAATTAGTTCATAAAAGTACATTTCTTTTGTTTCCCTATTCAGATGAGCTGTATTGCTTAGTGCTTAATATATGCTATTCAATCCATCTAATTATTTATGACATTATAAATACAAATGGCTTAGTTATTTGCATGAATTAGCTTTTAAGGAGTGATTTTAATGAATTGTCCATCTTATCACCCCGTGGAAGGAAGATGCTGAAATTTAAACATTTTTTCAGGTGCTGTTTTTCAACCCTAACCTTCTGACCAGGAATGATACCACTTTCAAAATAAGATGCCAACAGGTAATTTCTTGTAAGTTTATATTTTTTTAAATCAGATGTGTAAAATGTTTCCATAAGCATTTGGTATATTTATAAAACTCAAAACACTTTTCTTGAAATGAAAACCCACCTTAATCTGAAGTTGGTTGGAATAACTGGAATATTGAAGGTTTACAAAATAACCCTAGGTATAATAGGAATGTTTGAGACTTAGGTATTTTATTGGGTTTACTCATAAAAGTAACTTCTAATTTATTCTCTCTCTGATACCAGCTTCCTAATCAACAGACTAATGAAATTAGAATAAAAATAGATTCAGAGATAGTGATTCAGGTTAGATCAGTTTTCTTTGTCGGGAAAATATTCGGTGTTCAGACATGTCTGGTTGTTATCTAGGAAAAACAAAGACGAAGATTTTGGCTGAGGAGTTATATATAGCTATGTCCCACCCTCATTGGGATACTTATAGGATTTGGTTCCTAGGATTCTAAATTAATGTTACCTTTACTATGCAACTTTTCAGCTACCTCTTTGGGTTGTTAAAAACATTCAATTAAGAATTTGTTTAAGAGAATATGATATCTTTGTTTAAAAATAAACTTACTCATTTAGCTTCTCCTGTTCTGGCTTTTAATTTTGGGCAACTTTGACCGGGTAACATATACTTTGTTTGTGGAATTGCTGAACTGACTGCTATCTTCTCCTTACATTTTTACACCTTTGCATTCATAATATAATGAACCAGATTCTCCTCAGTGCCCAAATCTAGGACTTTCTTGTATTTGACTTTTAATTTAATTTTCCACAGAGGTCATCCACTTTTCAAAACCTGGAAGGTTTTGCCCTGAATAATAATTATAAATTATTATAATTAATACAAATAATTATAATTAATTATTATAAATAATTATAAATCAATACATTCATCAATAAGTATTTATTAAATACTGTTATGTGCTGGATGCTGGGTTTGGCAGTAAAGATACAAATCTCAAAGTGAGATTCCTTACCTTCAAGGAGCTTCCATTCTATCAAGAGAGACAATAGTTACACCAAAATAAACTCAAGGTAATTTTCCCCTGTGGGTGTGAACAGCTGGAGATCAGGAAAAGACTCATGTAGGAAGGAGAAAGGGTTTGAGCTGAGCTTTGAAAGAAGCTACAAATTCTGAAGAGACAGAGCACTGCATTCTATGCATGGGCACAAGGATGGGAGATCGAGTGTCAAGTGTGAAAAGGAGAAAGACTGGCTGGACTATAGAAAGTATAACACATAGGATGTTGCCAACATTTTAGTACAGTTTTCTTATTAAAGTTTAAAGCTGCACTAAAACTTTTGGGACAGCCAATGTAACAAGCTTGCAAAAAAATGTTGGAACCAGGTCATGAAGGATTTTAAATGACAGCAGAGTTAGTATGTCATCCTAGAGATAATAGAGTGTCACTGGAATTTATTGAGCAGAGGAGTGACATGGTCAGAAATGTACTTTAGGATAGTACTGGTATCTGTGTGAACAACGGATTGAGAAGAGAAAGGCTTGAGGCAGGAACAATGGTTAGGAAGTAGGCTAATGCAGTGGTTCACATAAAAGATGGTGAGGGGCTGAATTAGGGTCTTATGAGTGAAGAGAAAGGGATGGATGGGAGATCCATTGTTGACATGGACCTGTCAAAGCCTGGCAACAGTTCGGATATATGTGGTGAGGGGGAGTGAGATTTCCAAGACTGCAAACCTGAGAAACTAGAAGGATTGTGGTGCCTTCAGAAATAGGAAAATTCAGATTGGGGGTTGATTGATGGGGAGTTAGAGAGAGTTAATGACTTCTTTTTCCTATTTCAGTCATGTTGAGTTTGAAATGCCTGCAGGACATCCAATTCAAAATGTCCAATAGGCAATTGGTGATATGGGACTGGAGCCCCAGGGAGAAAATAATGCTGGATGTGTAGATCTGGGAGTCATCTGTGTAGAGGTAATTGACCCTGGGGAGCTGATGAGGTCACTAAGCAGAAACTGGAGAGAGAAGGGGGCCCGGGACAGAACCCACAGTTGGCCAGGGAGGCAGTATGGATACTAAGCTAGGATGTAGGAGAAACTAAAGAAAAATGTCATGAAATTCTAGAGAGAAGGGGATATCCAGGTAGAGGAGGTACTTAACAAAAACAAAGGCAGCAGAGAGGTTGAGAAATGTAGGAAAGAGAAAAGACCATCAGATTTGGCAACTAAGAGATCACTGGAAACTTTGGGAGAGAAAAATTTCATACCAAGGCCAGAAGTTGGATTGCACTGAGTTGAGTGAGAGGAGAGGGGGTGAAGCAAAAGCAAGCTATAGCCCAACATCCCTCCTGTCTTTCCTGGCCAGCTTCTAGGAGAAGCCATCTGTAGATAATGTCTACACTCCCTCTCCTCACTCCTCAGTCTGGCTTCCCACATCATCGATGAACTGAAACTGCCCTCTCCAAAGTTACCGCTGATGCCTTAATCCTATCCTTCTTGTCCTCTTGGGGATATGACACTGTTAACCTAAGCTTCTGCGTGCTCCTTCCTGTCTGGGTTTTCAGGATGCTGCTCTCTCTTGGGTCATCATCCATTTCATAGATGCTTCCTAACTGGGGCTGTCCCCCAAGGCTCTGTCTTGGACCTTCTCTTCTTTTTACGTTTCTTTCTTAGTTACCTTATCAGCTTCCATAGATTCCATAATTATCTTTATGCAGATGGCTGTCGGATCTATCTGGCCCTAGTCACTCTCCTGGGCTCCTAGTGCCATATAACCTGCATCCTATGGGGCATCTCCAACTGGATGTCCCATGGACATCTCAAACATGATATATCCAGAACAAAGCTCATTATCTTTCCCCCAAAACTGTTCCCTCTTACTTATTGCACTTAAGGGTACCATCAAGTTCACAACCCTGGACCTGTTCCCAATTCCTTACTCTCCCTCACTGTAGAAATCTGAGCAGTTGTCAATTGTACATCCGCAATGTATCTCACATCCATCTCTTTCTCTCAGCTCACTCTTTCTCCTGATAGAGTGTAAGTTCCTTGAAGGCAAGAGCTAGTTCATTTTTGTCTTGATACATTCCAGTACCTTTGCACAATGCCCAGCACCTAGTAGGCTCTTAAATGTTGGTTGATAGGTTAAATGCTTAAATCTAAGAAATGGATTGCTTTTTACCATTGTGTTAAGAAAAATATAATTCTCTCTATATATACCCTAAATGTCTTAATTGCCTTTCTGGGTTCTGTATATATTTCTTTTCTAGATCATGAAGAGCCCTGTGGCCCCAGTCATAGGTCATTTTGCCTGAATGGGGGGATTTGTTATGTGATACCCACTGTTCCCAGCCCATTTTGTAGGTGAGTGAAACATATTCTTGGAGTGCATTTTATAATGTTATCTTTTACCTTTTCTTTTTAAAGTAACTTGATCAATTAGAAACTTGATTAGGAATAATAATGAGCATTTAGATAACAATTGAAGGTTTGCACTCTAAACATCATTTTATTTAGTCCTCACAACAACCCTGTGGGGGTAGATACCATCTTACCCATTTTACAGATGAGGAGACTAGAACACAGAGGCTCAGTGACTGCCCAGAATCACATAGTTAATAAGTATCTTAGGGAGGGTGTGACCCCAGGTCTTCTCCACTCTAATTCTAGAGCTCTATCTGTTGTGTCAGTGTGCCGAAGGGAAAGAGCTTTGGATTTGGAATCAGGAGACCTGATACTTACTAGCTCTTGTGACCTTGGCCAAGTCATCACATGCCTTTGAGCCTCAGTTTCTTCATCTTTAAAATGGGGATAATAATAGTTTCACTACTTTCCTAAAACAGTTATGATGAAGAAAGCTGTTGGCAAATCGTAAAGCAATATGAACTTGGCAACTCTCATTTCTAGTAACAAAACAAAGGCCAAGAAGAAGTACAAGAGGTTACTTAGGGCATATCTTTAGTGCAAAATGATTTTTTTGGGGAAAAATCACACTTAATAATTATTTCCACCTTGCTATCACATGCTCTTTGAAAACTGGCGGTGGAAAATTACCAGTACTATCAAATTGTTTTATCATCAGTTACAGTGAAATCTCTGTAGATTTTGGCAGTTTCCAAAAGCCACACTATTTTGGGCATTAATGATTTTCCTGTGAGAGAATTCAGCAGTGCAGACAGGCCCAGAGTGAGTAATTTTCCCATATGTTCAGTATTCATCAGTGTAAGTGCCCTCTGGTGGTCACTATTTATCAATACAAAAAGAAAGAAGCCTGTTTCAGAAAGAAAATAAATTGAGAGGAAAAGTAACTGCATTTCTGATTGCCAGCGATGTAGAAAGCAGGCTGGTGCCTCAGTAACTAATGTATTTTTAAACAATTGGCTTTTCTTTGGCAGTTTTTTTTTTTTTAAGGATGGGGGGCACAAACTACAAAGTATGGAAGGGATTTCTGTGAACAGGGTAGAAACAGGTTTAAGACATTGTTGACTAGAGAATACAATTCAACAATGGAGCACTGTTGTTAGGAAAAAAAGGTGAATGAAACAGAGCAGGGTATAAATAAGATGATAGTAGCTAGTTGCCCCCAGGTTCTTCAGAGTGCCCTCCTTGGCAGTAGGCAAGTGCATACTCGCATATATTCTGTTTAGGTTTCCGTTCCTCTACTCAGGGGAGCTATAGAGGGTTTGGTGTGGGTCCAGAAGATGATGATGAAAACTTTCTTATAAAAATTAATCATGAAAAGTTAAAGAAAGTGGCATTATTTAGGCTGGGGGAGGGGAGGCACAGAAATCACCCAATCATTATCTCAATAATAGTTTAGGGTCTATCCTATGGATAATAGTGTCCTGTATTTCTAAAGAGCATAGAACTACAAAGAATTTTAATTGCATCTCCTTAGGTTGGATATTAGAAAGTACTTAAGGGGGTTTTAAGTTAAAGCTCATGGAGGAAGTTGTCTAAACTCCTTCTTTGAAGGCTTTATTAAAAATAGGAGAGAAGCACATCTGCCCTGAATGGTTTAATTACTCTACAAAGGCAGGGTGACTTCCGAAGATTTCTCTCAGCCCTTTGATTCTCTCCATTTAAATGTCTCTTTAGTCTTAACTACTCTCATTCTAGTAAGTGTTTTGGTTTATTTTTAGCAGCTACTTTAATTGAGGCTTCTTGGAGAGGTAGAGAAATATTGATGAAAACCATTTGGCCAATCCCCTCCAGAAGGTTTCAGAATTAGAATAGTGTAGTCATTACCACAATCAGGGAGGCAGATGAGATCAGCAGTGAGGGTGGGAAGGCAACAGCTGCTGCTGCTGCTGCCAGTGACCTCAATGAGGGCATCAGCCTCTCCCACTCTCTGGCCGCCCATAGACAGTATGAAAAAAAGCAGGGAGAGGCTTGGCTTCTTGGCTGGTATTCCTTAAATTGGCCCTTATGTATACACTGACTGTAGAGATAATGATTGTGGAAGAAGGTAGATAAAGAGGACTGGGTAAGATGTTGGAGCCAAACACCAAGGCCTGTGGAATCTGGCTACCTAGGTGGCTTTCCCTTTGTGCTAATTTTTATGTTCCCCGGAGTTGTTTGTGTCTATATGGAAAGTGTTGTGTATTGGGTTGAGCTCCACAGTAGATGAGAGAGAAAACGACTATACAGTGATGGTAGCTACCACTGCATCCTTGACAATACCCTAAGACCCCTTTCCTATTCATCTTCAACACAGCTGCCAAAGTCATATTCCTAAACTTCAGGTCCTACCATATCCTACCCCTGCTCCGTAAATAAATCCACTGGCTCCCTAATACCTCCAGGATCAAATTCACATTCCTCTATTTGACTTTTAAAGCCTTTCCAATCTAGCTCCAACCTACTTCTCAAGACTTATTATACATTATTCTTCATCATGTCCTCTTTAATCCAGCCAAACTGACTTTCTCTGTGCCTCTGTTCCCCTAGATGTGGGATGCATGCCCTCCATCCCTCTACCCCTTGGCATTCCTAGATTCCTTCAAGAACTCAGCTCCATCCCCGCCCTCTTGTCTACCAGCTACTAGGACTTCCTCCCAGAAAATTATCTCGTATTTATTTTTTGGTGTTTTGCATGCGATTATTTTTGTGTATACATCTGAGTGTGTATGTCGTCTCCCCCTAGAGAATTTAAGCTGCTTAAGGGAAGAGACTTTTATTTTTGTATCCCCAGAAATTAGCATAGTACATGACATATTTAGTGCTTAATCCATACTGGTGATTGGCTCATTCTACCAGAAGTGCCTTTCTTAAGAGATTATGGGACCTTTTCATTCGATGCAGTAACAGACACATCATCTATTTAAATCCATACTCTGACACTTATTGCTCATTTAGGGCTAAGTCAGAGCCATAAATGATGGGAGTCTTTTGGTTTGACTTGATTTTTCTGGCCTCTTGGCTTAATTGGTGTTGTGTGTTCAGTATGGATACTCCTTCCAAAAATGTAGATGGGGCTACTGATCTGGAACCGAGTGTCTTCTAGAACTGGGTAGCGGTACTGAGTGGTGAAAGGACTTGTTCATGGTTACATAGCTAGTATGTCAGAAGCAGGACTTGAACCTGGGTCTTCTGTACTGTGAGGGTGTCAGGCTGCCTTTCTAGACAAAGTTAAAGGAAGAAATCTATTGAAATTAAACAGGCTTTTGTAAGTGGTATTCAACCACATCTGTACCATTTTGTAATTAACTGAAAGATGGAGAGACTATAAGATTCCAATATGTTCATTGTTTTTTGATTATGAAAAAACCCGTTTGATTCAATAGGATGAAATGATACCTGCAGGCTCTTTTACAACAAGGTTTCTGCCATCTGTTCTCAAAAGTGTTCAAGATTCCTTAGAAGAGAGAACACTAGACATAGCCCTATTCCATGAGTGAGCTTCTCTGCTGGAGGAGATCCATCCTAAGGAATCCATGTTGCAGAGGGTCCCCTAGATACTCCTTTTTGTAGATAACGTTGCGTTGAGTGCATTAAGCCCCTGCAGAACTTCCTGAAAGGGCTCTAGAATCCTTTAAAGGAGTTTGGCTTGGCCATCTACACAGGAAAGACCAAGTAGATGAAGATGAAGTCTATCATCCAGGTCTTAACATGCATTCAGGTGGATGCCCTCTGGAGCTTGTCCATCCATATGTAGATATGGGACTGACAGTAGAGAAAGACATTGAGTTGGGCCCCAAGTTGAATACAAGAAAAAGTGAACTGAATTTTCTTCAGGAAATTGTAAGCCTTCTTCGTTGACTCCAAGCCCACCTTTTAAATGCTAATGTAACTGGGTAGTTAGACTTTCCCTATAGGCAGAGAAAGACTCTGAATTCTGGGGATTGTAGCCCTGAACAGATAGTATTTTCTTCTCATCCTGGGAGGGACTTTCGGCCTTCCACCATCCTGGGAGTTTTTGGTAGCTGAGATGACTCATCTGGCAGCAATGCCACATTTGGATGTGAACTTGGTGGAACCAGTGCCTTGTTGGAGCTATGCTGAGTCTGAGCACACTCTACTTGGAGACTGAGGTGGTATGGGGGAAAGTGTGCCCTCCTACAGTGGTAAGGGGGGAAAAGGGGGACAAATTCTATTCTTATTGTACCTTTGAAGTAAATATTGCTTTGTTAATTGGTTAAATGTAACTGACTGGCACATAACAGTGGTAGGAACACATCAGAGAAAGGGGCTCAAACCAATGGCAGTAAAGGCTCAGACCCCTAAAGGGTACCCCTAGAACCCTAAGGGGGAGATGTAGCTGACTGGATCTTGAGAGAGTAAGCCTAAAGAACATGCTAACTACATAAAGCTATGATCAGTATAACTTCTTTGTGATTCCTATCTGTTTACTGATTGCATGAAGAAAGGTTGAGATGGAGGAAGCCACTTGGTAGCTTGTGGTATAGACATAAGAGGGCAGAGAGAATGAACATTCTCATCTGACTATCAGGGATGTTCTTCTCCACCCCATAAGCCCATAAGAGAGAATCATATGGTATGGATTTTATTAATAACTCTTATAAACTCATAAATAACAGAAACAGATAAACTACGTGAGTGGGGCCACAACCCTAGACTGTGGAGTCATTAGTCAGCCAGGTTCTGGTGACTTATGCTGAGTAGTGATCATTCCAATGAAGCTTCCAGCATCCAGAGTGAGGGGCAGAATGAAGCCAAGGGAAGGTCACACCCCCTGTGTTACCCAGTGTGGTCTGGGTAGACTGGTCACATTCTGGCATAACCAAGGGCGTGCTGGAGTCAGCTGTAACCAGATCACAAAAGCCAATTGTTAAATTTTCAGTGTGAGTATTTACATCTCAAAAACCAGTAAACACTACAAAGCAGGGCTTGATTTATTGTTT